ATTTGATACTTAGTTTTAAGTATTTCAGGATTAGCACTACGCACTATCGTGATTTCATCTTACAGCTACAAATATTTGATATAATTAAATATAACATATTAATGAAATGAAAGTATTGCAAGAAAATGCATTACATTTATTGCACTTTTTATTTCAATTCGATTTTATTACTAGACGTTAAAAGTGCGAAGTGTTATTAGGTCATCGAGGGAAATTATTATCTGCTTGGACATTCCATTAAATTTTCTCGTGTATGTATCAATGAACTTGAAGTTCACTGATGGTCCACGAGCTAGAAAAGTGAACGCGAAATGTAAATTAATTTTTGAATAATTGAGAATTAGAATCATAACAAAATACGAGTTCAATTGCAAAATTAGTATGAAAGATCTTATCTTGCTCGCACGTAGGAAATGTCCAAATGCAGTATTCATGGAATGAAGAAAGAAGAGGCTTAATGCCGAAGAGGCCCCCACTTAATTGTGGCTCAAGAGGGCAACTACTGAGGCTATTGAGTTATTTTCAAAGGTTCAACAACAAGTTCGAACCTTTAGAAAATGGCTCTCTAGTCATATTTTATATTTTATTGTTTTACTTTTTTGCTCGTCATTAATTTCTAGTTATAATTGGAGATGATGGACCATTCCATCTCCTTTGGACACCATGTCCGTGTCTAATTGTCAAAAAGATTCATATGTGTTTAGTTATAGTTCGAGTCAAAATATTTAAATTCCCTTATTGTTACATTTTGAAGCCTAATTATCGTTTTTTGAATATCAAAGTAATTTCTCTTTTTTTTGTCCCTAAGATTTTTAACTGTGATCGTATTTTATTAAATTTGCAATTTTTTCTTTTCTATATAATGCAGTTTAAAAGTATTAATCATAATAATTAATACATATTATTTTCTCTAGTAACTTAATATTTGTACTTTTACTTTTTTATTTTTATTATTTTTTGTAAATGTAAAATTACGCGTTTAAATTTAATTTCATTGCAACGGTAAATAGATATTTGATAAAAGTAAATAGAGAATTCAATTTGAAAAGTGCATCTGCGAATTGGACGATTTATATGTCAGGCTATTGCATAAGTTGATTGTATGATTAATATAGTTTTCTTTTTGTTTCAGGTGATCTTCGTTGGACTTAACAACAAACCTTTTTGATTTTCCTCCATTTGATATATGTATAATGGCATTTCTGAAGGCACACACACACAAAAACATTAAATATAATTGTAAATTTATTAACATATCTGTTTTAGATTTAAAAGATTTGAGGAGAATTTTAGGAAAATCATTACGTAATTACGATGAGTAAAAGAAACAAAGAAAAAGGAGAGAAAATTATTTGAGTAGTTGCAAAGGAAGATAGTAAGGTAACGTAACGCGAAAATAAAAAATTTGCATAAATAATAATATCGGATAATAATAAGTAACTAGTGTAGTTAATTTAGGTGAATGAGATTTATACAGCTTACTTGGAATATTTTCCTATTTTCGAAATGATCAATTCGTTAGATTGATGAATCCTGTCGTTGTCCATTCTTCCTTCTGCTTTCCTTTCATTGTCATCGAGAAACCTTGTTATGATTCTTCTTTTCTTTAATTTTCTTTAAACTACATGCCTAAATATACAAAAAAAAAAAGAAAAAAAAATAGAAAAGAAGGACAATAAAGATAGAAATCGTTTAAATTTTTTATTTTTTCATACGCAAAGGGCTATCGGAATGAATTAAAAAAGAGATGGTACGTTTTTATTATTATACACAATACTACCATATAATTATGAAAAGTCGGTGAACACGACGTTAAACACGTCGGGCTTCTTTGGATGCGTTGCCCTTTTACTTTGTGTGTTTTTTTTTGTATCTTTCTTCTTTACTTTGTATCAGTTTCTTTTTTTTTGTATTTTTTCATTTGATATTTATATAACAGATTGAATTTTTACACGATCATGTTACCAATTCGACAATCAAAAGTATCGCGTATCTCAAAGTATTTGATTATACTTTGAATTGAATATATTACATGGATTTTTTGTTTCTTGAAAAATGGAAGGTATTCTAATAAGTCCGTCAATTCGTAATAGGTGTATTAGCTACATCACTTATTCACAATTTCTCTCACTCTAACATTCTTAAACATTTTTATACGCACGATACACGTACGATACATTCACGTAATACATTCTCACATCCAACATTAAAAAACGAGTGGGCCATTTTAATCATCGTTGCATACTCGTTCCTCTAACATCCTAAATTCTCTTATCATCCGTGAAAAAACACACAGTCGCCGTATATACACATATTGTAATATATATATATATATATATTAACATTTTATATATAATAATAATAAATTCGCGTCGATCGTGTCAAAATATGATTAAGATTCTTATCGACCTATCACACCTTTTTATCTATGGTTTACACATACGTTAATACGAGATATATATATATGTATATTATGTATATGTATATATATACATATGTACAAGTCGTTTAGCATGCAAACGATATCATCGTTTGAACGTATTCGAAGAGCTAAAGTTATTTTCCAGGCTTTAATTACCGATCCGTAGATTTTTGCGGTAGCAGAGCTTTTTCTTGACGAATCTCGTGCGTTAAACACATTTTTATTATACATACGTCTAGTCTGCTTCGTGAAAATATTTCTTCCTAAGAAAAATGAAAAAAGTTCTCGATTTAATGAGGATTTTTCACTTTAATTAAAATATCTTGAAAAAGTTGCGCGAAGTTTTATCCGTTTATTTCTTTTCTTTGACTTTTTGTCGACGTCGTTCGAGCCAAATGCAAACATATGAGCGAACGAACGAATGAACGAACGTTTTTTCCTTAAATTTTGATTTTGACACAAGATTAAAATGAAAGAACTTTTCAAAAAAATCTGTTCGATTTGATAGAATCTCGTTAACGAATCATTAATTCGTCAATATAAGCTCAAATCCATAGTATATGTATAAAATAAAACGCGAGATCACGATCGATTTGAATTATGAAATTTTAACGAAAATTTCGAATGACTTTTTCATTTTTTGTCCGTCCCTTCTCAAAATGAATTTAGTATCGTTTTGAAAATTTAAAAATGCGTCCTATGTTTTATCCATTCTTTCTTTGTTTCGTTTGAAAATTGATGACATTCGTTCGGTAACTTTGAACCCATTTTTTTCTTTTGTTCCTCGTCAATATCAGTAATCCTACGTGTTTATTGTGCATTTTTACGATATTATTACGACGCGCCTAAGTTTAAATTTCGAATGGAAAAGCTTGGCTGGTAATATCGGTGTCCTTCGAACTCGGGTGTCAAAATGTATATGTGTTTTTTTTTTTTTTTTTTTTTTTTAAGAATCCGAACGTCGAGAGAGAGTCCAGAAATCGGACGTACAGATCGGATTATTTTATAATTGCGTAACGTAGCTAAAGCTATTAAAATTTTTTTTTTTAGGCCATCGTTCTTACAGCGATACCTCTTAAAACGGTATAATAATTCACGAATCGGTCAGACTATAAACTTTGTCCGTGCTTCGTCGATAATCGTATTCGACGTTGCGAATAATAATTTATTAAGCTTTGGCAGTGATCGCTTCGAATTTGGTCCGACTGCAACGACGTACGTTTTTATTTTTTTTTACTTATTTTGTTATTACATATATAATATATATTTTACTATATTTTATTTTCGATCGTCCCCTTTACGACGTTTCAACATTCTCGAACGTTTCGATAAAGCGACACTCGAAAAGATCCGAGTTGCTTTTCCTTTTTTCATTTTAAAAACGATAAGTTACTCTGTACAACAAACAATGTAAAATTAATAAATAATCTTGTTCATTTTCCTATATGAATATCAATCAATAGATTTAATGATCGGTTCGCCTTATCGAACGTTATCGAAAAATAAAAAGTAAATCATGGATTTTTTCAATCGATATGTGTTTGACTTTTATATTCTCGAACGTCTTTCCCTTTTTTTCTTGTATATTTTTATCCTCCTTATCAACGACTGGACACAGGTATTCGTCGCGTTTTTTATTTTTTTAATTCGAGTTTAGACATTTACCATTTTAATTGACTTCTTCGTCGTGTAATTTTATTACACGTTCGATGAAAGAAAAGAAAATAACATTCAACATTTCTATAATAAAGGAAAAGAAAAAAAAAATAAATCGTTTGATGACGAATATCTGTATCATTATCGGCGATAAAGGATTTCGGGAACGCGTTACTATTGACGTAACGTCAGCAGCGGCAAAAATAGCGGCGCAAGTTGCAACGCAAATTGCAGCGGCAGTTGCAGCGGCAGTTATCAACAGCAGGTTCGATTAATCCTCCAAAGGAATAATAATTCGTTCTTCCTTAGTTTCGGCGCATATTTATTCGGCGGATATCGTTAGATCGTACGGTTCCGCCGACTATGTGTGCTATAAACACGTCTCCTTCTGGTCGATCACGTTGATCACGACGGAGGCCTGAGTTGGCAGCTCATTCTGGACGGGCACACCTGTAGGTACCTCTTCTAGTATCGGTCAAAGGGTCGTGGTCCTCGAAACCGCTGCAGAGGGTGGCGGTGGTGGCGGGGGTGGCGGAGAGATTACCACATCTGGCTCACCCCCTAGATCACAATCGAATCTCCAGAGAATGCTCTCAGGGTGGTCACCTCCTGTTTCAAATTAGTATTACCTTCTTTTTTATTTTGTTTCTTTATTTTCTTCAATTCCTAGTTTCACTATTGATCGTGGTTCATTTTTGTGGTAAAGGGGAAAAAGAAAGATATGATGTTGCACAGAAAGATAGAGAAAAAGAAAGAAAGAGAGAGAAAGAAAGAGAGAGAAAGAAAGAGAGAGAAAGAAAGAGAGAGAGAGAGAGAGAGAGAATTGCAATTACTGAGAAACGAGTCTTCGTCATCGACATCGAACGCATCTAACCTTGACCCAAGACGATGCCTGAAGAACCCCGTCTCGATTTCAATGGGGCTGCCTGGTGCTTGTGCGTGTGACTGTGACTGTGACTGTGGCTGTGATTGTGTGAATGAGAGTGGCAGTGTGTGTGACGAGTGTGCGTAGGTGTGACTTTGCACGCTGGCTGTGGTGGCTGCTGTTGCGGCTGCTGTTGTTGTTGCAATTGCTGCTGCTGCTGAGGATGAGGATGAGGATGAGGCCTGTGCTAGGTGTTCCCTCCACGGGCCGCCCCCACTTGATCGAAGCTCAATGATTTCTTCATCTCCGTCATCGGCAATGCACCACCCTCCTGCTGATAAATTAACGAATAACACGTGTCAGCTATATATAAACATATCTCGGAGTATCTCAATATATATATTATTTTTATTATTTTATAGTATCGTTCATTTTTAAACATTTAATTCGTATTCGACTTTTGTATTGATTATCGATTTCATTATTTTCCTTTCCTTTTTTTTTTATGTTCCCTTTCTTCTTTCATTAAAATTTCAATCGCAAAATGTTCAATTTTACCCCCCGTAAATTCTCCTAGCAGTTTCGATTAAATTCACCGATGAGGCTAAATCGAGACGCCGTTCCTAACTTCCCCCGATTGTGATTAAACTTTAAATCGAGGTGACAGGTACACGATGAGAGGATCGTTGGTAGGAGGAAACAGTAGACTGAAATACTGAAATCTCATAACTTGTTCGTAATCAATTTCCCTGTGTACTTTCATCTGCAGTGTTTACTTTCCATAAATAATGTAAGAAGTATACACAAGTAGACACGCGCACGCGCAAATTTTATTTTATATTTTTTTTTTTTTATAAAATATCGCGCATCGTATTCGTAGTAAAGTGATTCTTTTTTATATTTATTTTCTTCTCTTTAACCGTAACGTTTTCTTTCACCTATCCACCGCGCGTAAGTCGGTTGATGATCTTGAATGTGTGATCTGGTCTGGAAAAATCACTTCCGTACCGATCACGAGCACTATTCACGGATTTTCCTTTTTCTATGATGGTAACAATTTTTTACGCTCCAGGACGTTCCATTCTTACCTCTTTTTGAACGGCTCGTTTTAACGTGAAATATATATAAATATAGATATCTGAACAATGCACTAAAAGTTTCTTATATAAAAATTTTACATGATATCAATAATTTTTGTAATTATTATATATTAATGCATATAAAGCTAATAACAATTTTTTATTGAAATAAAAATAAAGATAAATAGAAGAATTTTTGCAAATTATGTTTGAAAATACTGCGACTCGTTTTTTGTATACTAGTGATAACGACATAAATACTTTTAGTAGAAGAAACGAAAATGTAAAAATACATTTTTCAAAGAAAGAGAAAAATAAATTGAGATAGATAGAGAGAGGAAGAGACAAATAGATGTGGAAATACACAGAAATTATTTACGAATAAAATGATACTCCTATTTACAATACTTCCTTGATATTCATGACGGAATTCGGTTTTTCTTCGTGCTCAAGAGTGACTTATAATCCGAGCTTACCTGTCAGAGCTAAGAAAATGTCTGGGTCCATGAGTGCTAGTACTATGTTTTCACGGTAACAAATACTAATATCTTCATTGTTATCGAAAGGAATGTAAAAGTATAATATACATATATTTAAACGTATTATTTTTTTGTTCATAACGTTCACCAAATAAGATTATTTTCCTTCTCGTTGAAAAATAAGATTTTTGTAAGTTACAGAGGAGTTGAAATCGAATTATATACCATGGAAACGAGTACAGGCTTTGCGACCAACGAATCTTATTCTTTCGAGAGAAATGCGACTCGTTCGTGCTCGAAGTAACTATTCCAGCCTTATCACTTGTCCCCTTTTCTACGTTTCTCCTTTCGTACAAGACTCGTGATTCTCTTACCTTTTTGATAAGAGAAAAAGGAGAAACGGTTAAATATCTTTCAAGATATAAATAATGAATCGTATAAGATTAGGAAAGACTAAAAAAATCAAATAAAAAAGAAATAATCCAGCACTTGTGAAATTGGAAATAATAATCGAAAGAAGAAGAAACGTTGATCGGTCGGGCCCTTTATGAGGGACAGGACTTACACCATTTAACCTAGGTATATCCAAGCTAGGTACGTAGGTTGTTTCTTCGTGTCCGTTTGAATAATATCTCGTTCTTCTTCTTGTGGAACGAGGACTGCATCTGCCGCAGGATACTGAGACCGAGGAATTCCGTGATTTAGAAGCTGGTCTCTGCCGAGATCCGCAACGAACGGCGAATCGTAATTCCGAGAACATTTCGGCACACAGTGACTGTAGATTCCGTTCCGTGTCCGTGTTCCATGTCATATACCGCATGCAAGCACGATGTGATGATGGCAGAGGGTTATGTATGGGTTATGTATGTATGCTCGTTTAATTGTATATAACGGATCGGGAAAGGAATAAGATAGGAAAGAAAAGAAACAAATTGAATATGTGTCAATGGGTAATAGGAAAAGAGTATACAACGTGCGTGCGTTTACCGTCGTTGTTAGTTAGTCGTTGACGATCGTGTACAGGTCATCGAAGAATCCAGCAGGTACGGCAACACCAAAGAGACAATACACAAGTACAATCATAACCGTCATTCGATCTCATGCAAGAAAAAGGAGCCCACGATAATTTTTTTATCATCCCTTCTTGAAAGTTTTTTAATTACTTGATGGTACTTCTTATTATCGTACAAAATTACTGGTTAATTATATTTTGTCATTAAAGTCTAATGATTGAAATCAACATTGAAAAAGAATATATATATAAAACGGTTAATAAGTAGGGTCAACAGGATGAAGAAAAAATTTCATTTCGCTCGTCATGCAGCGAGCGATGTAACGAGAGAAAGTAGAGAAAACTTTGTCGCAATTATCGGCTTTGAAAGGGGGATAAAGTTTGCTTACCCTGTCGGAATGAACGTTTTTCTTGGAATTCCAACAGAACTCGAGGATAGCCACTAGGATCGCTAAAGCAAGACCGCAAAGTAACACGACGAAAACACCACCTAGAATGGCAAAAAGTGTAAGTTCATTATTTTAGTGCTGACTCTCTCCATCTTCCCTCTCTCCCCCTATTTCTCTCTTTTTCTTTTTTATTCCTTTTCTATTCCTAATTCCGCACGCGAAATGCTTTCGGATTTTCAACCTTAGCCGCTGGCAAATTCCACGACGAACATCGAAATGCTGCAACTTTACTTGTTTTTCCCTTATTTCATCCCTTCATGTTTCTTTATCCCTTCTTACACCTTTTGTTATGTCCCTTTATTTTCTCTTTCACTTTCTCTTTTTCATTCTTTCATTCTCTCCATTTTTCCTTTTTCTCCTACCTTTCATTCTTCCTTTTTTCTCCTCTTCTTCTTCTTCTTCTTCTTCTTGGTTTTCGTTTTATCCTTTGTTCGAAAAAGTTTTACAAAGGAAAGACGAAAGTCGAGGGAAAAGTCCGAAGAGAAAAAGTTTGAATTGCGGAAAAGAATGAAAGATATATATATATATATAAAAGTGAAGTAAAATAAAGAAAGGAGTAGGGATAAGGTAGAAGGGAAAATCGTGCGAGCAATATCCAAGAAGAGCAGCATCGTTTCGTGAGTCGTACGTAGGAAACTACCATATTCCCTGGAGTATTAGATTTGAAATGGTGACATTTTCAAAAACATTCTTTTTCAAATTGCATTCATAATTCGAACAATTAATTATTCTTCTTTTTCTTTTTTTCCAGTATTTTAACTAACGAATGTTAGTCATGCTTGTCGTGTTATTTATTCAATCTTATTAGAAAATATGAAGTCACTTCATGAACTAAACTTTTATTTATCATTTCCATATAATCTTTAGCAACATTTTGCAAAATTCTATATTATTCAAACCGATAATACTTATTTTACTATGTTTCGTAACTTTATGACACCAAGTTGTGCATACGACGTATAGTTATAAAGAGAAAATTTTTCTTAAAGTTGGTTCCTACTCATCGATGACAAGTTTGCTGAGCATGAACGAGGAACAACTTTAGAAATTCTTTTATACAAGCGAAAAGAAATACTACGAAAGAAAGAGTGAGACGGACACGCGTTCCTCTTCAAATTCTTTCGCGCTAATGAACTCCTCTAGCTTGCTTTTTTTGTGTATTTTTTTATATTTTTTTTTTTTTTTTTTTCGAGAAAAGACTTCGAACGAAAAGAAAACGATCGCAACGACTTGCACGTATTTTATCAAGAAACTAAAGTTTTTCTTTTCCCCTTTTTTCCTACTTCTTCTTCTCGCGCGTCTTCATCATCTCGTTGAAAGTTCTCCTCGTTTGGTTTGTGCTGATAACAGATTCGCAAAAAAAAATAGAAATAAAAAAAATAAAAAATAAAAAAGAAATAAGGAATGAAAAAGTTACTACACGTAGTAAATGAAGGACACGTAAGTTGGATACGGTGCTATTACTGCCAAGGTAATATCTTTTTTTCTTTTTTTTTTTATTTCTTTTTCTTTTTCTTTGCCCATAATGAATTTCGTGCGACATTTACGCCCCCAGAGATGGTCAGAAAAGGACTCAAGTAAGATTTGCATAACCGTGTAAAGCGTGATTTACGTGACATTCACGACGTATCACCGGAAGAGAACAAGTTTCGCGGACCGTTGCGGATGAATTTATATACATCTATTTATTATATATACGTATGTGTTAGTATATGTGTGAGCGTAGCTGTATAATGTACTTATCTATGTGTGTATGCAATAGATCCAACTATGTAAAGTGAAGCACAGAAATATTCATACACCTACTGTTCATTTAAAACAATCACTATTTTCTTCTAATACGATACTTTAGAAACTCCTTTTAGTCGCCTTTTACGACAAGCAGGAAATACTGTGGAAGTATTCTACCACCCTCTACCCACGGGGACCCTTACACAACCCGAATTACTTTTGTCGCTCATTGTACACGTGCAGTTCTTTTAAATTACTCCTTTTTTTCTTGATCAAAGATAACAAAAGGTATGTCAGAACTTTGGTAAGATACTGGAATTCTATGAGATCCCTTTTCAACGTGCTTTACAGAAACACAAGTAAATACTAGCCACGAGGAAGACTCGAGTTACGCAAACCTTTCTCGCGAAAGTTCATAGAAACCTTCTCAAGTTATAATTACTGGGAAATTAATGGAGTAAGACTTTGGAAGATTGGATTTAGTACGAATGAACTGGAGAATTCCTTTCTAACTCTTTGCCCAGAATTTCGTTTAATGTCATTGTTAAATTATTGGTTAAATATGATCGAAATGTAATCCAATTTAAGTGATACGTTTCTAGGAGATAGAATAAAAATTTTCTAATCGAATTTATTGAAACTTCTATCGATAGGATTTTAATTTATCGTTGATTAGACAATGCACAAAATTAACTATTTTATAATATAAGTTTAATATCTCTGATGAGAATAATATTTTAGTTTGTTCATTATCATTTTCTAATGATGATTCGAAGCTTTACCATAGGTAGGTTCATTAAACTTAAAAGCAGATATTTGATTGCAGAATATCTTTGCGGAATTAATTCGGTATGTCTGAAGTTACGATGTCATAAGTCAAACCAATGCAAATAGTAAATTTGCTTATTTATCGATCCTCGGTAAATGACAAATATTCCAATGTAAATAAGTACTAGTATATATGTATAATATACAAATTTTCTATTAAAATATAATTAGATAATTAAACGTTTACTTATAATCGCGTGGATAGTGTAGTTTACGAGATAAATATCATACACGAGTATCTTGTCAAAACGATGATATGTAAGAAATTGTCAAAAGGTTGTACGGTTACATGTAAAACTTTGAATTTAAGACGACAGCTAATATAAGATGTTACATTTACTCTAGTCTAAAAATAAACAGGAGCATCGTCTTGGCAGAAGAGCAATTAGTAGCACGTCTGCAATTTCCAGTAGGTTTTCCCAAGTGAAACGCGACAGTTTTCCGTCTCGTTGATCGTGAGAAAATTCGTGTCAAAGATAAAAAGGAATATAAATATCTGGTAAAACAATTAAAACGTTCTAAATATAGAGAAACCATTTTTGAATCCTAATTCTATTTATTTTATTTTTTATCCACAAAAGAATTTCAAGCTTATCAAAAAAATTCTTAAAGTTTTGCTCGATGATCGATTTATTTATTTCTTTTTTTTGTTTCGTTTTCTTTGGAAGTTTCATTTCTTGTTGTATTCCACGTGACTTTTAACGAAAGAGAAGAGAATTTCCAGCTTACGATCGTTAGAGAGGTAAGACCAAGAAGTAAATAGCCTAGCATCGTCGTGTTAGATTCTCCAAGGGCCAGGAAAACGGTAGTCGAGTTATCGTCGAAACATGCAATTAGCAGTTTTTCTACAATTTAGTAGTATTTTCCTTGGTAAAGTCGCGTAGACCTCTTTACACTCTTGTCGAGTATCTTCCCACTACTTGCTAAAGTGGATACTTATCTAATTTACGAAGTACGCTGGCTAAGGTGGAAGGTAAAAATAAAAAAATGAAGAAGAAGAAGAAGAAGTAGAAGTAGAAGAACCGAGAAGGAAAAGATCATAAGGTAAGATTTCTTAGGAAGGAATAGGTCCTTCTCTTACTGAAAACTTACTGAAAATAAGGAAAATATAAAGTTCTATTCTTCTCGGGAATGTTCTTAAGGTAGAAAACATTATCTTTTTATTGTTCAACTAGACCTTGTCTTACATGAACTACAGTAAACTTCATTTTTCGTACGAACATAAAAGATATATTTTCCTTCGGTTAATCAAACTTCTTTTTCGTTATATTTTTTTGTGTGTTCCCTTTTAATTTCAAATTTTCCTCTCAGCATTGAAACTATTTCCCCCGTATTAACGTTTCGAAATGATAGACATACGTTTATGCACTTACAATAATGGAAACTAAACAATGGTAATACAATGAAAGCAAATCAGGACTCTCATTTGATAGACGCTTATATTATAAAATAGAACTTTAGGGTTGAGTAGGTGAATTTGAGGCTTTCTAAATTTCCCAAAGTCGTCGTGAATACGATGCTTCTGGTTGAAACGATCTACGAGTTTATGTACCACCTTTGCATTTACCTTCGAAGTATGTAGTCAAGCATTTGCATGTTAACTCGTATGCTGCCTTACTATCATTTGTTGTGTGCTACACTAGAATGGATTTACGAGAGAACAACCGATTGGATCGATTATATTTTCCCATGCAGTTTATATTAGTTTTTCTTTTCTAAATGTCGTATGAACTATAAGAGATTTCATTATAAAATCTTTTTATAAAAAAGAAAAAGAGAGAACAACTCGTGGCAATTATTTGTCATCAAAATTCTCATATTTTTCTCTGGAAAATGTAAGCACGAAAGAAAAGATAATTTATTAAAATATATATATATATATATATATATATATATATATATGTGTGTGTGTGTGTGTGTGTGTGTGTATATTTTTATTATTTATAAAAATCTTCTTACCGATATTTTCGACCCCAAGAGCATTAGCTTTACTCTCCTTATTCTTTTCGTCTCTGTTACACACGTCTCCCGTATTCTTCCACCACTTATCGTAGAGGATCTGTATTACACCTTTCTCCTGTAGCTCGAGAATGGCCAGAGATATTTTATCCCTCCAGGGTGAGCCTGCATATAAAAAGCCTTCGTTAGTTTGGTCAAGGATTCTCCTCGCGACTTGCCCTATCTAGCTATGTGTTCTATCTACTATCTTTTTTCACTCGCTTATTTTTTTCTTTTTCCTTTTTCCTTTTCTTTTTCTTTTTCGTTTTCTTTTTTTTCTAATTTCTACGTCTTTCTTCAGTTTCTTTATATCTACGGAAAAATAAAGCTTTGATTAAAAAGGTGCTTCTTAGCGTAATCTCGACGAGATTATTTCAGTTTTTTTTTATTCTCTTTTTTACTTTCTTTCTTTTGGTTAACTTTAAAAAGAATAATACGACAGCTATGTTGATTGATTTCGACTTCTATGTTTTATTTTATTTTATTTTATTTTTTAAAGTAAGGTAGACAGCAAGATATAACGTATAGTTCTTGGCAATAACGTTAGCGTGTACTTTTTTATGGACAATTCCAATGCAAACACGTATTTGCAATTAAAACAACTACAGAGTTTAGGCAAAATAGGATAGACCTTTGTGTTCTGTTTTTATATGTATCCTGTTAGAACAGCTTTTTGAATAGAAGCATGATTGTAAAGGATAGTTTGAATAAGGTGGTGTTCGGTATGTATTTCAAGTTTTTTCGTTGCCAAATGTTTTTTCGTGTTATATATATAAAAAAATTAAGGTAGTTAAATAACCAACAGTTCCAGGAAATATTGCAAGCAGGATACTAAGAGAAATAATAATAATAAGAAGTGGCTGGKTTCTACATCAAAATTAATGCGTCTTCATTATTTGAAATTACCTTTTGGCGTTGCAATTCCGTATCCCTTGCTATCCAATAAACCTCCGATTTGTGTTAGGTTGCAATCTCTCTGGACTGCATAATCAAGCATCGTAGATTCCATGAGAAATGCGTAATCACCTTCCAGTACCCTCTTAACTCCTTCCTCGTATGTTTTTACAAAAACTGAGGGAGTTTTTGAATCCATGAATCTCCACATTTTTTGATAAGTTCCAATTTTTGAATCCTGGCAATGAAATAGGGATGGAGGAAAAGTTTAAGATAATTTAATATTTTGAATGCAATTCTTTTCTTTATATATATATTCTAAATATTTGAAAAAATATTGGTAGGCTTACCCTAAAGAATGTCATTGTACTGCCACCTTCCAATGTGCCGTAAGATATTTCGGTTTGTTCCGCCAAATCTGCTGCATTTTCTATCGGCGTTATCATCCTTTCAACCGTTAAAAAGGCTGCGAGATTCGCCGTATACGAGGAGATTATTATAAGGGTAAAAAACCACCATATTCCACCGACTATTCTCGTACTGGTTGCCTGAGGAAGATAATAACGAGGATCCTTTATGCCAAACGAAGAAAAAGAAATCTGCGAGCAATCCTCGATAACGATAATAATCGATAACGATTGCGGTCATCTTTTATAGAACGATTCTATTCTTTTTATTTTTTTTTTATTTTCAACAAAATAAATTTCTAATCCGAAAATAATTTACAAATCTTAATACTTGATTCGATGTTTTTTTTTTTTCAAAAGAAATTTCCAATGAAATCCTAATTAGTCGTAATAATAAAAATTTCGGTGGAACAAAGTTGATTGTGAAGTTTTATTAGGAATATAAACCCGAATTGTGATAAGGATGAGCATCTCACTTTGAAAAGTCGAAGGATAATTTCTGATAAACTTTTCTCTTGTTTTAGCTGTTAAATAATGCTCGATAAAGGGATAGACCCGTCGGCAATAGATTCGATTTAATTTAACAAACTCGTCGAGCGATAAAATCGAAACTACGGTGCATTAAAATGAAACTCCTGTGCTATTCGCGCCTTTTCCATTAAAGGCTAAACTTTTTTCTTTCTCTTTTCTTTTCTTTTCTTTTCTTCTTTTCTCTTCTCTCCTTTCACCACTGAGATCATTCGTTAAAATTTGAGAGAGCTATTTTAAACACTGAAAGATTCGTTCATTCGACTTCTCGTTAGATATCATTTCAGATGTCTTCCTATTTTATGCAACACCGATATACTTGGAAAATAAATCGAAAATTCATGAAATCCAAAGGGCTTTTCAAATTTAAGGTATAATATAATCGTGTCTATATTTCGAAGTTTATATCTTCGTGATATTCCAAGAATGTAATAATACGATATCTCTTTATGCGTTCGTTGTACTTTCAACGAATTCCCTCTTTGAGGAACCGATTTAAACTTCGAAAAAAAAAATTAGATATATATATTTCTATTTTACAAGACGACAATCATTTTTTGTTCTTTTTTTTTTTTTAGCAAAGGAAATAGATGGACAACACTTGTTTTTATTTTATTAAAATTAAAAACAAATAAAGGATCGTTCGTAGTATATTTTAAATAAAGAATGCATTTAAAAGGAAAATAAAATATCAAATTAACAACGTACATATGTTGCACTAAACTCGTGTTCAATATACTCGCGTGTCCCTAAAGAATCGTATACGATTTCTATTCAATGCACTCACATTTTACGATTTAATTATAATTTATGCGTATGGTATTTTTGCACCTAATACTGAAATGAACGTTGTACTCGATTGAAATAGTATAAACGCGGTATAAGCATAACTCGTTTTACAAAAAATAATACGCTTGGGTGTACTAACGAGTTTAATTTTTCGCAGTTTACGTTCATGATGGTGAAAAATATGGAAGCATGTAGAACGATACAGAAAACACAACATACAACAACGTTCTTGAATGATTTTCATTTGTACAACACATTCGCATATATATATGTTATCCCCCTATACTTTCCGTTTATCGAAAATCCAATTTAACGTTACACTGGAAAATAACTATGTACATACAGGAAGGCACGTACATAAAATTGTACTACGCTAGAGTATCACGTTGAATAGTCGATTAGTATGGAAATCGAAATGACTTATCGAATTAACGATTCGCGAGTGAGATTATTATCGTATTTGTACAATTTCGATAAAATTTCTAATAAGAATATTTGTTCTTTAAGTTGGTATCGTAAATGTGGATGATGATAAAAAAAAAAAAAATACAACAAACAAACAAACAGAAGAATAATAAAGAAAAACAAAATTTTAGGTAGAACGTTTAAGATAGGTAATAAAAAAATATGACGGTACAATATCGGGGTGCTCAGCTGCAATGTGCATCTAGGATGCAATGACAAACTCAGCCACGATTTATAGTTTCCCGTGATGCTCACGTAGATCGTGGTCGTTCCGACTAGGATGTTCGCCGATGCAAACTCAGCTTATGTCTTCAATTCTTCATCTTTTTTATCAACTTATTTATATAAGTTTTTGTGTTACGTAAATACGCGCATATATACTATATACATATATAAGAAAAATAAGTTAGTAAAAAATAGTCGACAATATTCTTTATTTTTTTTTTTTTTTGTACAATTTCATCTTCCGTCCAACTTTGAAAAATAACATCCAAGAAACATCGTACATTTTTCAAGATAAATTTTCACCATATATATTTCGATTACAAATTTCTATCTGTATGTATACGTAAATGGACAAAAACGATTACGAGGAAGTCGATAGTGTTTAGATATAGATTGAAAAGTTGCGAAACCCGGTAACTTTATAGTGACACGTTTATATTGAAGTTGAGATCATTGCACCGTTGCATAAGAGTACCGATTGCAAGTAAGAGAAGCTATCGGTTACGGGTGATCTAATAATTGTCGTCTTGTTTTTATTCATTTCTTTTTTCAATTACAATTATATATTTACAGTAAAAACAAGGCCGATCTTATCGCAAATGTAATGAAAGTATATAAAAAAAAAAAAAAAAAATTAAAAAAATATTAGAACAATTGGATCATAGATAATTCGAGAATATCCTTCGTCAGTTCATTTAGAGAATTCTAACAGTTATGGATAGTTTCAGAAACGATCGCAAACTTTCTAGTACCTAGCAAATATGAGAAGAGCTTTCAGTGATGTTTGGGTGGTTTAAAAAAAGCAAAGTTATATATGCGAGCAAGAAGAATATTTACCGACCAAACACCGGTAAAAGCAAAGGTAAGTGGACGTGCTTAGGAAATACGTTGAACAGTGATGGATTGAGAGAAAGAGAAAGAAAGAGAAAGGGTTAGAAAAAGAGAATAAGAGAGAAACCAAGGAAGTAAGTTAGCAGCTGAAGGAGAATGGTAAGAGAGTATGTTGGCCAGAAGAGGATGGGGGTGGTAGTGGTTAGGCGAAAGTTAGAGAAGTAGTCCAATGGTGGAGCACCTCGTTTAGTGTACCTTGGGGTTGAGTCCGCTGCCCTGCCTGAGGAAAGTACCAGTGATGAACCAGAAGCTGTTGCTAACGCTAAACTGGTTTTCGACGACATCGCTATCCGCTAAACAGGGATGCGGATTGTTCCATTCATAAGGACTGAATCTTGCCATCACGAATAATGTGAAGCTAACTAGCATGTACGCAGCCAATACGTACAGCCAAATTTCCACAGCCAATGGATTCATGAAGGAGAACAGTCGTGTTGGCTGACTGGAGGGTACCTAAATAACGTTATGCTACGATTTTAATTAAAATGGATCTCGCCAAATAGAAATATTTGCATAGATCGCTGGTTATTTGACAAAAATATATTACATATTGGTTAGTTTTGTAAAAATTAATTTTTTTTTCAAATTTATGATAAATTTTTTATAAATTTTTTATAACAAATTGTTAATAACAAATTAATAAATTTATAGTTATATGATATATTCATAGCGATACGAATTACAGGATGAAAATAATTTTTTACAATCATTTATAACAAATTGTTTATAACAAATTGTTAATTAACAATTCCTGATTAAAAAATGGATAAAAATTTATCCTTTAAAATGGTCTTTGTTCGAAGTCTCTACGACTTTTATTTTCAGAGATATTCTAATTCAAATAAAAAGTATTTATGTTCACCCATTGACCTATATAATTTCTTTCATAAATAGGCGCTGGCCCAGTGACCTACATAAATTCTTAGAAGTCCTACTACGTGCGTACGCACGCTACTACTACCATGCGTATAGAGTAATTCTTGAGAATTATGAATGACAAATTATAATATCCATATCTTCCGAACGAAAAGTCGTAGAGACTTCAAACCAAGACCATTTTTAAGAAGAAATTATCCTCTTTTTATCTATTTATTCAGATAATATCCTTATAATAAAAATGATTTAAATAAAATATTAAATAGAATCATATGAAAGTTGAGTAATGATCAAGTAATTCGAAATTAAAATTTTTAACAATTCTAAAAGCTGTTCTGCATATAAATGACATTATTTTTTCATTCAGTCATTACATACCATATTACTATTTACATACATACCAGTCATACCATATTAATATTTGTTTAATTCATACACTAACTGAGGAGACCAACAAATATTCCGATACTATTTATCCATGAACTATATAAACATGTACATTAAAATATGTATACGCTTATTTCATTAAATTCAGGTAAATAACGGTAATTTTGATGGTAACATGACTTCTATTAGGAAATATAACAATGTATAAATAACTAATTTCTAAAGTAATAAACTTTATGAGTATGTAATCCGACAATGCAGAAAATTATTTATATTTAATGTAACTTTAATTAATAAAGTTTCAATAAGCTATTCCATTTATTAACATTGTGTTTATTATATTATTTCAACAAGAATAATAATCTCTCCATTTGTTAATACTATGGTATAAAATAAATACTTTATAGAAATTAAATTTGATTAAAATCGTAAAATGAAAGAAGAAGATAAATAAAGAAAAAAAAAAAAAGAAAAAAGTAATGATAAATAAAGAAATAACATTAATAATATTAAAGTTACCTCACCTTAAATAAGATTCCAATACCAAGATTCATGAAAGGCTTCGTGAAGTCTATCACGCTTTCTCTGGCATAATTGATCGTCATAGAAGCTACTGCAAGATCTGCTCTCTGTAAATTACAAACGAAATATTATAACATCTTATTTTTTATTTCAATATTTATCTTTAATACTTTGAAATGAGAAATCTACTTTTTGAAAAATAATAACCAAATGCAATTATAAGAAAAAACATTTGACTTGCTAAAGTATACGTTTGATTTTCAAGAGTATTTTGAAGTTAGTTATATTTATTTAATAAACGAACAGATATATAATTCATAATCGGAAATGAAAAATATGAATGACTTAAAAAAGAACGAACGTTCCTCTTTTTTTACTGGCACTCACAGTGAACGTGCTTTCTAGGTTAATGTGTCGTTCTTTTTTTTAAGAAGGTCAGATGCCTCTATATCTTTTATAAAATGCTGATCTTTGGGGTTAAGAAAGTAGCTTAGTCGGCACTATTATTACAGCGAAAGACGCGAATCCTTTAAGATTTATAGGTGAACTTATTTCCATAGTAATTTTTAATATAACTCGTCAAACGTGACTTTCGTTGAACCCTTTGAATCATTTTATTATTTCTTTAAGAAAGATGCGCACAAATTATTCTCTTTTTCTTTTTCTCTTCACTGCTCTTCTTATATAATATTAGTTTAATTTAAACAATTAATTGAATAATGTTACAAGAAGCTTTTAATTATAATTATAAGAGAGTAAAATTTAATTATATCATAATTGAAGATAATAATTAAGTGAGATGATATTAAAAATGTAATATTCAAATGTAACATTTGTGTAACTCAACCGTTTGAACTTTATGATAATTATTGCAAACACTTGAAATTCGATAAAATATTTAGAACGTCATAAATGAGACTTTGGAAAGTCTCTTTGTGCTTTTAAAGTATTTCACCAACATCTTTCATGCCTTTATAACATCGAAATGTTACGGCGAAGTACTGTAATTTTCTTCTCTACGTTCGAAGTATGCTCATTTGAAGCCTTTCGAAGGAGTGCTTTTTGTCCACATCTCTTTTTTAATGCTTCTGAAAGAAACGTTGACCTAAAAGTGTTACCGAAATAGTCAAATATTGTTCGTCATATAGTATAACATATTTTAAGTTTTTATTTTCGATCGAAAAACCTATTTGTTAAGATCTGAAATAAGTTGACAAATGGATATGCATAATAGATACACGCATATGTATATAGGAATATAATCCGTAAAATATCTTGTAAAATATTCAACGCGTTTTAAACAGAACGTTTGAACGTTTGAAGAGGGGGGGGGGAAGTTGTATTTAAAAAAAAAAGAAGAACAATATATATATATATATATATATATATATATATATATATATATATATATACACG